AAGAACAGTTGATATGGAATAGGAATTTATCAATGGACAACCACATAGCTAAGAACAGTTGATATGGAATAGGAATTTATCAATGGACAACCACATAGCTAAGAACAGTTGATATGGAATAGGAATTTATCAATGGACAACCACATAGCTAAGAACAGTTGATATGGAATAGGAATTTATCAATGGACAACCACATAGCTAAGAACAGTTTATATGGGAGCTTATGTTAGCATTGTTTCATTTTCCCATTATGAGCGTCCCTTTCAATTCAAGAAAAACCTTGATTGACTATGTTAAAAACAGCCACACTAGAAGCAAATACAATTTTAGAAATCACTCATAACTAGTTCAATCACTGTCACTATGAAAAAAAAAAAACGATGGGGAAAATATCCACTGGCAAAAAGCAGGCCTATCCGACAATAATGACCTGTTGTTGTATCCCCAAAAGTCGATCAAAGCTACAGTGGTGGCAAAACTCATGTCTTCTTGCATCGGTCAATGTGATTGCTACAGGGTGATTTGAAAGGAGGGGGGGGGGTGCGAGGGGGCTATACATTTAATCACATGCAGAGATGTAAACACAAGGTGCTGACTGGTACAAACTGAAGGTAAACAGCTCACATTCTAACTGACCATACAATAACTGAATGAGACACGTATCTCTCTCTCTCTCTCTCTCTCATCAAGCAATTGTGTATAGCTTTTTTTTTTAAACAGAACCTTCAGATCCATTTAAGGAAAATACGCATCCAATAGATGGGGCAGTGATATTTATTGATCGATTGGTCCTGCTTCTAAGACACCACTGGTCCATTCATCTAAAAGCTGTTTTTTTTCCTTCTCGTTTCGGTCAATGCTCCATGACACGATGAAACACTCTTGGGGCCGAAAGGCTGCAGCGTCATGGTGTTGGACACTACTTATTGAAACCGGGCGTATGAGAGGTCGTCAAAGGGAATATATCAACATCGGCCTGCACGGAAGACGAGTACAAAAACATGTCCACAAGTGGGAATACTGTTGGGACCCAACGTGGCCACATATCGTCCAAGAGGAAACTGCTACCAGATCAAATCAACCACACTTAGTGAAAATATTCAACTCATTCGTACATGTGCGGCGGATCCAGGGGGGGGGGGGACATCGATAACAGTGGGGTGGTAAATGAAAACAATTAAATTATTACATAAAAGGGNGGGGCGGCGGGGCATTGTGTATTGTGCTATCAGGACGACTCCCTATACCAGGGCCGTAGAATTCACACGAGCTCTTACTTCCGACCCTACTCGACTACCAAAATCCAGCACAATGGTTTCCATTGACATATAAAGATTTAACAGAATGTTGTCTCAAAGCAAAGTAGAAGAGTTTGTTCCCATTTTGACCTCGCGGCCCAGTAAAAGGTCAATCTTGACGTGTGCCACGACAGTGTCATGATCAAGCCAGCGTTCCTCAACGTTCCCTCAACACACTTTCCTAGCTAGATTCTATAAACAAGTAAACGAATATGGCACCATCACATCAAAAAAACTCAATAGCACCTCCCCCCCCCCCAACAACCATTCATTTGATGATTCATTCCACGATGGGAAAAACGAGTCCCAATTAATGGTTCCGCTCATGGACACATTAGGGTGACAAGGGGTGATGATTAAGCCCTCCAGCATCACGCCCGAGTGACAGAGAGATTTTCGGGACCCCGGGACAAAGACTTGTTTACGGGTCGGGCCGGCCATGATGGATTCGAACTCACAAACCCAGACTACCATCCGCACTGACGTACCGGCGCTGGTCTCGAGTATCTTTTTGTATTTGAATGTTGTGTACAATAATAACATCAATTGATTGGGGTTGGGCCATTTCTACAAATCCTCCAACCCAATCCAACACGTGCCATCTGGACTGATGTTCTATACCCTACGGGCCAAGGCAGTCCAACCTCGGTGGAGCATTTCAACACGCCAAAGGTAACTGCGAGAGGGCAGTAATGAAGAAGCAGTGGGCCGTGAATGTACAAGTGTTTAAAATGTTGAGCCACAGAAATAAATAAAAACGTTTAGGGCGCGTAGCCGGATAAAAAATGTAATCTATTATTAAACAAAAAACTAAACAGACACGCGAGCTGATGTTGACACACACAGTTGATCATAACATTTATATATGACACAGATAAACAACGAAAGCGAAGTGTATATATACTGAGTAGAAGGAACCACAGTCTTCTAACATATAGGAATAGGGAAAATAAAGGAGGACAAGATTGGAGGAAGTAACAGGAGTGGCAAGATTGGTGGAACTAACAGGAGTGGCAAAATTGGTGGAACTAATAGGAGTGGCAAGATTGGTGGAACTAACAGGAGTGGCAAGATTGGTGGAACTAATAGGACTGGTAAGATTGGTGGAACTAATAAGAGTGGCAAGATTGGTGGAACTAATAGGAGTGGTAAGATTGGTGGAACTAATAGGAGCAACAAGATTGGTGGAACTAATAGGAGCAACAAGATTGGTGGAACTAATAGGAGTGGCAAGATTGGTGGAACTAACAGGAGTGACAAGATTGGTGGAACTAACAGGAGTGGCAAGATTGGTGGAACTAATAGGAGTGGTAAGATTGGTGGAACTAATAGGAGCAACAAGATTGGTGGAACTAATAGGAGTGGCAAGATTGGTGAAACTAACAGGAGTGGCAAGATTGGTGGAACTAACAGGAGCAAAAGGATTGTTGGAGCTAATAGGTGTGACAAGATTGGTTGAACTGAAAGGAGCAAAAAGTTTAGCGGAATTAATAGGAGCAACAAGATTGGTGGGACTAATAGGAGAAACATGATTGGTGGAACTAATAAACAGCAACAATATAGGTGGAACTAATAGGAGTGGCAAGATTGGTGGTAGGAGCAACAAGATTGGTGGGACTAAAAGGATTAACAAGATTGGTGGAACTAAAAGGAGCAACAAGATTGGTGGAACTAATAGGAGCAACAAGATTGGTGGAACTAATAGGAGCAACAAGATTGGTGGAACTAATAGGAGCAACACGATTGGTGGTAGGAGCAACAAGATTGGTGGAACTAATAGGAGCAACAAGATTGGTGGAACTAATAGGAGCAACAAGATTGGTGGAACTAAAAAGGAGCAACAAGATTGGTGGAACTAATAAGAGCAAAAACATTGACTGAGAGTGAACTAAAGGAAGCACCAAGATTGGTGTAACTAATAAGAGCAACAAGTCTTTTTGGTGGAACTAGTAAGAGCAATAAGATAAGAGGAACTAATAGAAGTGGCAAGATTGGAGGAACTAATAAGAGTGGCAAGATTGGTGGAACTAATAGGAGCACCAAGATTAGTGGAACTAATAGGAGCACCAAGATTGACTGAAATAATAGGAGCAACAAGATTGGAGAAACTAGAAGTGGCTACAAGATGGGAGAAACTAAAACAGAGCTACAAGATAGGAAAAACCGAAAGGTTCACCATGATTGATATAACTAAAAGCTGCCCTAAGGTCGAATGAACTCAAATGTACATTGGAACGAGACAGGTACTTATGGCTGATTGTGAACTTAATTTACTTTTAGTTTAAGGCATTCATTGGAAAATGCTTTATTTATTTATTTAAAGAAGTTTTTACACAAAGGTACAGAACAGTCCCAGACAACATATGATGTTACTGATGTCATATGGTTGGGGAAACTCAACTAATAGTTTTTTTCTGCATAACCAAAAGCGTTGGGTCACTTACAACCCAACACCAGCTCAACCTGATGGCAAGTGGAAGCCTTGTGCCTATCACCTACTTGCACACAAAATAAACAAACCTGCTTATCACAAAACTACAATTCAGTGTTAGCCACAACACCAAAGCTGATTACTGAAGCAGTGTTTGATGATAACTAATTCATATTCAATAATCAGTACACTGATGAGAAATATTTTTTTTTTAATGAAATAAAAGGCAAACAATAGTAAGAAAATAAAATAAAAGGAAAACAATGGTAAGACAACAAAATAATGTACACTAAAAATCATTCTACATTTAAAAGGAATTGTCGCATTAGTTCAAACAGACCTCTAAAAAATCATAACCTTCAAAATCCACATGTAATAACTGTGCAAGGGAAAGAATTCAATAGTAAAACATGGAGCAATACAAAATTTAAGTCCCCTATTAGCTGGATTAGTGAGAAAGTCCTGAAACTGAAAGCACAACTTAGAGAGTGTCTGTACCTAAAGCTAACAGCAAACACAGTTGGAAGAGGAGAAGCAGCCAATCATGTTCAACTTTCTAGGATTAAATATTTAACAACATATGTTCAGTGTCCTCCTTGTTTTCAGTCTCTAAATTCAGTAAATTTTCTAGATAACTTGGTACAAAACAACTGCATCTGACAAACAGGGCGGTTATCCCCAGCCCGTAAATATATTTTAAAAAGTTATTTTAATGCATTGTAGGAAATTTGAAAACTAGTCCCAAAAAAATGAAAAGTAAAGGAATCTAGCTACTGGGAGACCTTGGTTAAATGATTCAAAGAATAACAAGGAAATAGAGGTCTCGCTAGTGTGAAGTTATTAGGAATATTAGGAAAACCTTTTTTTCTTCCTTTCTTGTTGTGATTCAGGTAAGCAGTCTTATTAATCTGATATTCAATTTATTTTCATTCCAACTACATCCTTTGAAATCCAGTTGATAATCACATATTTTCAACAATTTTAATACATTAATTATAAAATATGATACTCAAGAATCAAACAAATTTAGTTCAAATGACATTGCCAAGTACAGCTGTTTATTTATGTTACTTGTCTCTCCTAACCGAAAATTGATAAAAATTATGGCTCTTATTTTGAAAATAAACAATCCAAGCTCAACAGTCAAGTAAAGCACTACAATTTAAAAAGAAAGAGGAAAAAAAAAAAAGGTAATCAACATGGAATAAGGGAGGTAAAAAGAAATTTGTGTAAAAGTTACTTTTCCCTAAAATAATAAAAATGGCAAAAGATTAATACATTACTAACCTGGCTAGTGCCTGGGGTAGACTGGAAATGATTGGACCATAACCTGCTGCATTGTCATAGAGTTCAAACAGGGGTGCTGCCACAAGCTTGTAGTTACGTGGGACAGCAAAAAGTGCTGAAAAAAATATATTCAAGTAGAATTTCGAATTCATATTATAGCCTGGGGAGACTTATATCTTCAATATACTAGAAGGGCTATGCAAAAGCAATATTCACCAAAGTGCTTTGAAGGACTGCTTATTTATGAAACAAATCATAGGGTGCCACTGTAGTTAAGACAGAAAACATGATTAGAGCATGCTCAAAAGAGGATGGTTATATTAATCATTTGGATTGCAGCATAAATCTGACTCCCTCTATGAGGACCTTCAGCAAAAATGTAGGGGTTCTCTCCGTTTTAATTTAATTTAATCCACCCGGGTGGATGAGACTCATTAACCTTGGTCGGCAACTCATCTAAGAGAAGGAAATCTGAATTCCTGCAACCGAACCCATCCCTGGTCGTCTTGACGTAGAGTCTTGCCACTGGATATGGTGGGCTCGGACGAGAGAGTGAGGTAGACGCCGCGCAACTCTTCTTCACTTCAAACAAAGTCACCCGCGCAAGTCATCAGTCACCAGATGACTCGATGGTCCTCGGCGGACGAACAATAATTTAATTTGATATATTATATCATCTGCACCCATTCATCCAACTGCGAGATATGGTGCAGCCTCTTTTTATTTAAATCACCAAGTGTGGCTTCTGAGACAGATTTAGGAGTGGCAGTCTCAACTACATTTTTCACAGTAGAACATTAACTGATTGTTTTCTTTGGCCATCCTTAGGGCATTTTTTTCGCCTGCTGACCCTGTAGGCCAATCGGATCGGTCATCATTAATTTTCCCCTATTATCTTATGTTGATGCTGACAGTCCAACTGTACCACATTTGTTTCCATCCCTCTGGTCTTGCTTCCTCCCCCAGTCATATACAATACAAGTTACATACAAAATTGGAGTGTCCTTAGAAAAAGAAATAAAATATTTATTTGTTACAATTAATTGCATAAAGTCATGGTAAACCAAGCACCAGTCCATTTATGCCCAGTTTTTATATGGCTCACTACTACTGAGAAAACCACCAAAAGATGAACAAGTAAAGAGAAAGAAGCATGGCAAGAAAAAGATGTTTAAATGTAAAGATTATCAATATTTTATATAACTTTGTACCTTTTTCAGGTAGCTGAACAAGGAAAAGTCTCTTATGCTCTTTAGGCTTGGTGATATGTGCTGGGATGTAGGGATACTGTGGAAGAAAAAAAAAAAGGTTTTCTCTATGACAGGAGCAAGCAGTTTTCCCACCCCTTTGCTACAACCATTGAAAAGAACAAATTAATTTGAATGACAGGATTTTTATAAGGGGTGTGGGGGTGTTTAACTATATATTTGTTAAATAAAGTTTGTTAGTACTTTATTTTATAGAAAACAATGCATAAGCTTTTAGAATTTGCTTACCAATGTCAGCATGGGCAAAGATTATATGTGGGTGGACAGAATTCAATTTTGTATAAATGAATAGATAACTAGTATATTATTGAAACTGCATAAATGTGCAATGGAGGCGCTATGTAAGAAACCTGGATAAGGATAACCCAGAAAGCTTTCCTTTAGCTGAATTGTAGATATGGCAGTTTTGTACACTGGACCTTTTGTATTATGCTGTGTTTTTGGGTCCAACGATGAAACCATGTTGATACTGATATTAAAAAGCATTATCTATTTGTGGAGCAATCATTCTTCCAGCATGATAACATATCCAAGCTTTATCTGTGCAGCAATACTGAGGGTACAGTGTTGTATTAAAAAAAAAACAGTTGGGCATGAATGATATTTGAAAAAGTGCCCAATTCTGTTATACAACTTTGCAACCAAATAAAAGGAGATGCAAATTTTTAAAGTAAGTGAAATTTTTATCTTAAAAGAAGCTTACACTAACCTGTGAAGGCTCAAAGTTTGGCCTCCACCAATTTCCTATTGTGTCTTCAATAACCCAGTCCATAGGAGCACCATCCTGTCGTCCCAATGTCTGTACGAATACATAAGGATTAAAAATCTTAATTTAGCCAGAAAATTAAGAGCAACTCCAAGACACCACATTACATTGACTCTATATAATTCAGATACAGAATCAACGTGAGATCATTTAAAAAAATAAAGCAATTATAATCTTGTTATAAATATTTTTTGTGTGTTTAACAGTTCAGTTAAACTTATACATTTTCAATTATAGAAACCAATAACTCTTAATTTTGTATTTTGTAGTAATTTATTTTAACTTTAACTAAAGGTATTCAAAAATCAGAAAGCCTCTGAACTTTCAAAAACTATCTTTTACAAAAAAAAGGAGAAAATAATGCTAACTCATAGCAGATTAATGAGAGGGATATATATTTCTTGTAATAATTTTAAAATAATTATTTTTAAAAATGTAATTTTTCAAACAGGGTCATTAAGCAACAGAGTTTAATCATGTTATTTGCAAACAATTGTTGAAAGTTAAGGAATTTCTTAACTATAAAAGTAGTTTACAATGAAAAATAATGTTTACAAAGTAAGAGCACTCACCTCTGTCAAGAGCCTTTTAAGTCCTTCAACCTGATCTTCACCAGCATTAAGTTCTCCTCCAGGCCTGGACAAAAACAATAATTATAATTAAGCTATTACTCTTTGAACAGTTAAAGCTGTTTAAACTGCTCATATTATATAACATAAAATACCATTCACCTCTTTCAGCTTTGTTGGAAATCTATGATTGAATGCATTTTAATTTCTATCTTTTCATTTATGTTTTACTTTTGTATCTTAGAACATATTCTTTTTGCTACATTCTTTCTTATTAAATAAATTTTAACTATGTAAAATTTCTGTTTTAAGAAATGCATGTATATTTCATTTATTTATTAGCATAAAACTTAACATGAAAACCACCCCAAGAGTTGAAATGGTGGACTTACAGCTTGAAAAATGTTGTACCCAACTGCAAAAGTAGAACATGGGGCAAACCGTGTTCATAGACAATTAAGACACCTTCAACAGATCGCCTCATGCCAATCTTGTCAAACTCTTCACGCATACGTTGAAATCTAGCAGGCACTGAACTATCCTTTTCATACAAAGGTTCTTTGGTGCCAAAAGTGTAGTTATTTAGTGGATAGCTGGAAAAAAAATAGCCCAAATTTCATGAGTTAAAATATTAAGTTAGATAAGCAGAAGTAATATATAATTAAATATACTTACTTATTTAAGTCACATATACTTATTTTTGTGCAAGAAGTTATTCACAGGCCTCTGTGGAAACTGACACAATTCTCTATTACAGTAAATAATATAAAAAGAATGTGGGATCATAATGAAATTATAAGTCTAGCAACAAACTACTCCAAAAAATAACTTATTTGTGAGTTTTAGAAAATGAGACCTAATGATATAAAGTGGAGTTTGCTTGACTTTGCCATGCGGAGATCCCAAAGCACTTTGGTTCAATTAACAAACTGCTCTGATATTAATAATTCATGGTCAATAGAATCTCAGAAAAATAACAGAGGATAATAAATATTTTTGATTTTCAAACACTTTAACTGTGCTTAAAATGGAGATCAAATTAACTGTGTACTGATCAATGTTGAGTTACTGTAAATGAAAAATCAAGCTATGAATCAAGTGCTAATATACGAATGCCTGAATTTTGTTCCAAAAATTGGATCTACAATGAAACAGAATGTAAAAATAAGTAAACAGTAGTTTACAAAAATACACAATAATTTAATACCTTAAATTAGTGTAAAAAACTGAATATAACCATTTTAATTGTTTCTATAGTATAGTAGTTACTATCCTAATGTCTCATTTTTATTGTAGTTAGTTTACATGTTTTTAATAATTGTAAAGCGCTTAGAGCTTTAAGGTAAGCGTTATATAAAAATGCCTAAATAAATAAATAATGAGACATTAAGTAAAGCCAATAAATGATATTCTCCATGGATTGAATGAAATAACATCTTTGCTAAGGAATTTTCTAAGATCAGTGCATGGAGTGAACCATGTCTTTACTACTGATGCCCAATTAGATTTATGCTGTTAACCTTTTTTTGTATGAATCATCCATTCTATTTATAAAATGTGTTTTCAAACTGGTTTTTCCACATGATAAAATGATACTAATGAATTAGTCTCACTAATGTAAGTCACAAGGGTTTATTAGAATGCAGTAATAGACTGTTTTTTAAATATATTTTTAATTTCAACAATCACAGTATCTTCTTTTTTTTAAATTGTTCTTGTGTTGTGACAGTTATCAGTAAGCAAATATAGTAGTAGATTGTAATGAAAAATATTTTTGCAAAATAAATTTGAATAGAGTTTTGTAAAAAAAAAAAAACAATTGATAATCTGATTATCACTGTAACATCCTTAATTTAATGAAAATATTTGGTCACTGTGTAAAACAAATCTAAAACTTGGTACATAAATAATTTAAATTTGAGGATTTTTGAGTGTGCTAAAAACATAAACTTTTCCAGAACTCTGGAGCAGGCACAGAAAATTTTTGTTTTATCTTCAGGTAAAACAGTCCCTGCATCAAGCTTAAGCTACAAAACTATAAATATATAAATTACAATTAAATTTAGGCCATCTATAAAATCTGTTATATTGTATGGCTCCCAGTGGGGCGATAAATTCATAAAAAAGATAGACGGGTTCAACAGTAAGAAAAGTGCTGCCAAATATAATGAGGCACACAATGAGTAAGAATCCTCAGAGCATGGGGAAGACACTTAATGCACCTGTTGTGGAGAAAATTCATTCATAGGTGATCTTTCCATTTTATTCACAAAGATGCAGTCACATGAAGGGGATGAGGGTGCAGAGCAGCTTGAAATAATAGTTATGCAACATAGGGCTCTTCACCAGAGAATGTACCACCAATTTAAATCTGGATGATGAATGTTTCTTCTAATGTATTTCCCCACATATCCAATGGAAAAAGGTACTAATGATGGCTGGAGGGTTAAAAGTCTGGAAAGATTGATTTTCTGTGATGACCAAGATCAAGTCTAAACCAAAATGAGACTCTAATGATGGCAGCAGCTACCAATGAATTTTAAGAACTGCAAACACATTCAAAGAAGTGCTTGAGAGTTTATTCATCATATTTATCATCTCTTGGTGCTGACAAAGCAAATTCCCCTTTTTTTTTCATAATAAAGATTAATAATGTTAATAATGTAATAAAATAAATGCTGCTTCTAGGTTCTCTGATGCTCCCCTAAGCTGTATGAAAAAAAATCTGTGGTCAGTGAAGTAAAAAGATGGGACATTGCAAAAAAAACAAAAAAAACAACTCAGTTACATTAACACTAAGGAGATGTTAAGTTTGGTTCTCCTGATATAGTAGATTATGAATGAGTAAAGACAGGAGAGGTATGCACCAACATTTTCAGTTAAATTTTAGCCTAACTACCTAGGACTTCTTCTAGAATTAGGCCTACTGGAAGCCCCTGCCTAGGATATGTGACTATCATAATTGTGTACTGGCACAGTGGTTCCCAAACATTTAAGTTTGGCGGACGGGTGAACAAGTTTCGAAATTTTACCAGGGACCGGTGCATGATTTATTTTTATAATTTTATTTCTATTTGACAATAAATACTTATGTTATGGGGACCGGCAGCGTTAGGCATGCGGACCGGTGAAGGTCCACAGACTGCCATTTGGGGACCACTGTATTAGCAGACCTGTTTGCCCCTAGTGGTAACTACATTTTTAAGCCTAAGACTATAGCAAGCCTAAAAAACTACAGTTTCAGGATTATTTCAATTCAGTAATTTATTTTTAATTAAAAAATTACAATGGGGGTGATTGGAATGATAGTACAGTATAGTATATAGGCCTATTTATTATTTTATTTATGCTTTTATTAGGGCGTACTTAAAATTAAATGTAAATAGAAGGTCCTAATTTTAATATAATTAACTAAGTTTAGGCCTAGTCTACGGCTTGAGATTTAAAAGAAATGCCAATTTTGGGTACAGCAAGAAGCAACTAAGCATAGTATGCAACTGATGGAGCACAACGTTTATTTTCACAGTAAGTCTACTAAGCCTAATTCAGGATAAACTAAGCAGCTTTATTGGGTAAAAGTCTAGTTAGCGGCATAGGTTTTGCCAAGAGTTGACTTATCTCAAGTGCAGTGATGTCATTTTTGGGAATCCCAACACTGGACTTAAGGTGACAGGGCCAACAATTGGACCTGAACGAAGTGTATGATAACTGTCCCTTTTTTCAAGGAAAACTATCCACTTCATAAACTAAATCTAACCATCCATACAGCTAATATTAAATTTAACTTACAAGGTTCAAAAGAATTTTTTTTTAAAAATAAACTCATCCTGCCGATATGAACACCAGAAAAAAGATGTGTGTGAAGTGTGTGCATTGTTAAAAATGCTGTTTCGATTAGTTGAAAAATGAAGCACCCATATGCTATTCATTTCTATCACTATTAGTATAATGTTGTAATTTATTGGGACATTTCAACATATTTCTCTGGGGAGGGAAGACCACTCCCTAGACCAGAGGTTCCCAACCATGTGCCCGCGGGCGCCATGGAACGATTCGTATGTGCCCGCCTCTCACTATTCGACAGAGACAGAATTTTTTTCATAAACCTTATTTTAAAATATGATTTATTTTTATTCATTTGTTAGAGTTTTAATTTTTTTTTGACTGCCTAGGTTTATTAAATATGTTCGATACTTGTCCCAACTTGTCTAGCGGCGAGCCAGACTGCATTATTTACGCTAGCCTGGAACGGCTAGTGCCATTTGCACATCACACCTTGTACACGCAGAAAACCCGAAGTGAACGAATGGAACGAACGCCACGAACTGATCCGATAAACGCCGAAGGCGCCAAATCACATAACTCTGATTGCTTCGGCGATCATCGGCTCACTTCGGGTTTTCCGCGTGTACATGGAGTGATGCGCAAAAAGCATTCCCTGCCTGGAACCGCATTGTTGCCATTGTGATTGCTGCCCTGTTCGGGTCGCGACAGTTAGATAAGAGACATGTTCGTCAGACAAAACACGAATTAGGAGTTATCTATAAAAAAAATAATTAACAGGCTAAAAGCGAGGTGCGTAATTTATTGTATTCATAAGCGATGATCTATTAATAAACTATTATTATTGAGGAAATAGTTATAGTTCTTGTTATAATATATTTATGCATATAATGCAGAACAGACTTGCGCTATAACATTGATATTATATTGTAGTTCAATTATTATTTTTTTTATTATTTATTTTAGCCCTAAAACGAGTGGACCAAGTAAAAGACAACGAACCTATAATTTTAACACTGACTGGGAGGAATCATATTGTTTCGTTAATTTGAAAAATAAATGCGTTTGTTTGTTGTGTGGTAGTAGCATTGCAGTGCCGAAAAAACATAACGTTGAACGACACTTTCAGACAAATCATGGCACTTTTAATGTGAATTATCCTCTTAAATCTGAAGTAAGAAAGAAACAAATTTGTAATCTAAAATCAAGTCTAACAGCACAACAGACTGTTTTCACTAGACATGTGGAAAATTCTAAAAAGGCCACTATTGCTTCTTTCAAAATATCTCACATGCTCGCAAAAAAGAAGAAACCTTTCATTGATGGTGAGTTGTTTAAGGAACTATTTTTGACTGGTGCCGATTGTTTGTTTGATGGATTTTCTAACAAACGTGAGATTGTCTCAGCAATACAAGACTTACAGTTGAATGCGTTTGTTTGTTGTGTGGTAGTAGCATTGCAGTGCCGAAAAAACATAACGTTGAACGACACTTTCAGACAAATCATGGCACTTTTAATGTGAATTATCCTCTTAAATCTGAAGTAAGAAAGAAACAAATTTGTAATCTAAAATCAAGTCTAACAGCACAACAGACTGTTTTCACTAGACATGTGGAAAATTCTAAAAAGGCCACTATTGCTTCTTTCAAAATATCTCACATGCTCGCAAAAAAGAAGAAACCTTTCATTGATGGTGAGTTGTTTAAGGAACTATTTTTGACTGGTGCCGATTGTTTGTTTGATGGATTTTCTAACAAACGTGAGATTGTCTCAGCAATACAAGACTTACAGTTGTCAAATAACACAGTCACAAGAAGAATACATGCAATTTCAACAGACATACAAACTCAGTTAAAAACTGACTTGGAAATATGTGACTGGTTCTCGCTACAATTTGACGAGTCAACAGATATATCAGACACAGCACAGTTAGCAGTTATGGTGAGAATGGTGTTTAGTAACTTCACAGTAAAAGAGGAGATGTTACAAATATTACCTATGAAAGGACAGACAAGGGGTGAGGATATTTATAATACATTCAAAACATACGCCAAGTCAATAAATATGCCTTTGCACAAGCTTTCTGCAATAACCACTGATGGGGCGCCAGCAATGATGGGTAAAAACAAAGGATCTATTGCCCTCTGCATGAAGGATGATTCATTTTCAAACTTCATGTCCTACCATTGTATTATCCACCAGGAAGCTCTGTGTTGTAAAATTTTGCCATTTGAACACATCATGAAAATAGTTACAAAAATAATCAATTCTATTCGAGCAGCTCCTTTGCAACACCGACTTTTCAAGGCCCTGTTAGAAGATACTGAAGATAAAGAACATGATCTTATTCTGCATACTGAAGTACGTTGGCTCAGTAAAGGAAAGGTTCTTACAAGATTTGTGAGTTTAATTGAAGAAATAAAAACATTTATAAACGATAGAAAGGAAAATTATGATGAACTAGCTGACTCTGGCTGGCTGATTGATTTGGGATTTCTCACAGACATCATGGAAAAATTGAATTCTTTAAATTTGGAGTTGCAGGGTAAAGACAAAAGCATAGCTGAAATGATAAGCTCTGTAAAGTCATTTAAAGCTAAATTGGATTTGTTGATATCACATCTGCAGATCAATTCTCTCGTGCATTTCCCACATATGAAGAAAATGCTAGGTGACAATGAATTAAATGGGACATTATTTATTAAGCATCTTCAAGAGTTAAAAAAACAGTTTGAAGAGAGATTTTTGCAGTTTAAACATATTGAGCCAATAGTTTCCTTCTGTATCAATCCTTTTACTTGCCAAATAAATGTTATGGAAATAGCCGCATGTATTGCAGATTTTGTTCAAGGTAAGACAGAAGAACTAGAGTTAGAAATTTTGGACCTTAAGAATGATATTTTGCTAAAATCCTTAATGTCAGAGGACTTTTGGAATACAGTGGATAGAGAAAAGTTCCCATTGTTGAAAAAAGCGGCATATAAAATTGAATCATTTTTCGGTTCGACATATTTATGCGAATCATTGTTTTCAAACATGAACTTAATAAAATCAAGATATAGGTCTCGACTCACCGATGAGCATCTTTATGATTGTCTGCTAACAGGATTATCGTCATACGCTCCTAATTATGAAGCTCTGGCCAATGAAATGCAATGCCAAAGATCACATTGACTTTATTATATTTTTTAATTAAATGTTTTCTTTGTATTTGTGTGTTTTGTTTACTTTCTTTACGTTTTGTAAATACATTTCTCTGTGTGTATGCAATTTGAAAAAAATGCCAAATAATTTTATTATTTTGAAACATTTTTGTTTATTATTTATTAATACATTATGACTATAAGAAAATAAATTATGGGAAAATGACAAGTTATGGAAGGAGTTTGTCGATTTAAAATAGGTGGTGCCCGCCACCCTACCGATATTTTAGAATGTGCTCTAGAGTAAAAAAAGGTTGGGAACCCCTGCCCTAGACCCTTCTCACAACTTTCAAAACAAAAATAAAATATCAACAAAAAAAAAATCAAATAAATACAGAGGCAAAAATCAAAATCTTTTGAATGTGGAACCATAGCCAGCAGTTGACTTGGGGAACCTCCATAACCTATACTATATACCATGGAAGACATCATCAGCCCTACCGTGAACTCCATTTTAGTCATTTATTCAAATCTACACCGGCCGACAACGTGCTTTTTCCCCCTTCTCTCGCATAGTCTCAGTTACAGATTTGTTCATACTGCCCACCATAATTAGGACAGGGCAGAGACTTTCTTAGATATTTCAATCTACTCAGTCTAGTCTACTGACAATATTATAATGGCAGTGCCTACACGTCACGTGACTGCCGGACGACTAGTGGGAGATATTTTTCTGGCGGACATGTCATGTCACAAAAGTCACCGGCAAAATAGTTGCATTGCATTTGATATCCAATATTGTAGTCATATATTAGTCTGCCGATCCCAGATAATAAATAAATACTGATTATATTAATATTTTCAAATGCTCTGAGATACATAAAGTGTATCATAAGCTTTTAACATTGAATAAAAACTATTATAATACTAGTAGGCCTATATGCTAGTCTATTTGAATCCGACTCTTAAAAAAAAAACAAGTTATCTTGGTTTTAATATCTTATAAAGCTCTTCCTAGTAGCCTAAATTTAAAATATGAACCAAACGAAATAAGACCAATACTTGCCAGTTGAGTTTCACTAGACCTACGTCAAAAAAGTTAGGCTATTACTATTGCGTGAGAAGTAGGCTACCCCAACACCACAATATATTGCCCCTATATTAACTTTTATTAAGATTTAAGGTTTATTTCTATGGGAACCAGCCCTATTTTACGATGTAAGGTCTATTTCTTCGTGAACTATCGAGCTCCCCATCTTAATTATTAATCTCCCTCACTATCTTTTTTACCTTTTCTCTCTCGCTCTCATTATTTTTTCCTTCTAGTATGCATTGCTTACCCTCTCCCCCATTATTTATTTTTTTAATAGTTGAAATAATTTTAACTCGCCGCCCACATGAATCTCCAATGCCATTTTTCTGATTGACTATAAGCAGTCACGTGACACGGCTGACAGACAAATATTTAGCGCAACTTTGTTATGGCGGTCATGTGACTTGGCCCTTGGTAAGCAGACAAATATCTCAAGAAATTATATGTCCGGTCGTCGGACATTTAGACACTACGTTCTCATACCCATCAATTTAAAACAAAATTGCTCACTAGGAAACCCATCTTTCACAGGTCTCATCTCTGCCTTTTTGCCCTTCACTTACTGATTTATTTTGAGTGTAAAACTGTAAATCATAAAATCTTACTGAAACTCTTACTGATTACTGTCTTACTCTTTTAAAATTTTAAGCAACAATGTTGTTCAATGTTTGGCAAAGACTAATAATAACTAGTGAGTCTGATGCTAGGCCCCTAAATCTAAAAACTGTACTAACATGATTTCAGTTGAGTAGGTGAGTAGGTAAGTTTTAGTACTACTAATAATTACTTTTTAGTTTTAGGCAGGTCCCATTCTCTTTCAGCTTTTTAAAAAAAGCTATAAAAAATTGTTAAGAATAGGCCTAACTTTTCAACTAAGTGGAGGATTCAAATAAATTTAAGGGACAGGCTGAGACATTGATTTGAAAGGGTAACTTACAGATTAATTGTTCTTTCTAGAGTTAATGATGCAGCGTGGCTCGCTGCTGCTCTGGTCATTTTGTAATTTGGCCACCCGGCATTATCAGATCTTCTCCGTTCGTGAGTCGCCATCGTTAATATTATAAAAATTGTGGATCTAATTTTTACGAAAGAAACGAAGAGTAAAAATTGTCTAACCTAAGATTGATGAAATTTATTTGTCTCGATCAAAAAATGAATATTAAAATGTTTATTCTTAATGATCAATTAAAATTAATAAAATCCATTTAAATAATATATTAATTTTAAGTTCCCATAAAAATTGTTTTAACATTTTATTTAACAAGCTATAAAAAGTAGAATTCTTTATTTTTACAAAATAATAATTTATTATTTTTGTTGATTTTACCTGTGATATTTAGAATTCAGTAATAAACTGGAAAAATCATTTTTATTCAATTACACGTGTCATTCTAATAACTATAATGCTTTTTGTGTATCCATAAATTTTACCAACTAATAGCATTTATATATGCAGCAATAGCCGTAGTGGTACCAAGAGGTTGGTGGGATGGGGAGATGGGGTGAATTCCGTAGAGTGACATCCTCACAGAGAGGTCACACAAAAAATTGAGGGGAAAAAAATGCAAAACTTAAAAACACAAGTAGGGGGAGGGGGGCACCGCTTAAAAAAAAAAGGGGGGGGGGCATCCATTTAGTACGTACGCACAGAAAGAAGGGGGGGGGTGTCGATTTTTGAAATTTTGCGACTGGGGCCGGGGAGAGGGTCGGCAGAAAGTGAGCACATTTATATAAAAAAAAAAAAAAATTACAATAAGAATCCTGAAATTCTGACAGCCCAAAAATCGCATATTTATATCTCTAATGATGTTAAAAACATATCAAGCAATAGTTTTTTTTTTAGGAATTCTCGTCACAGTGTTGACAGCTGTTTTCACAAATGAACTCTCTAGATATCGCTCAAAGAGTACTCAGTAGTAGCGGTATTGCAGCAATATTTCGTCCACCGTATTTTCAACGTGCTGTGTGACGTATCCCTACCCAAAGGCGTAGCGGGGGGGGTGCAGGGGGGGCAGATGTCCCCGGGCGCCAGCTAGTTAGGGGCGCCAGCTAGTTAGGGGCGCCAATGTGTGCTTTGATATTATTTTATTGATGAAAATAATGGGTTTGAGAGTTGAAAAAAAGAAAAACGGGCGCTTTAAAATGGATCTTGTCCCCGGGTGCGAATCTTGTCCCCGGGCGCCAAACACCCTCGCTACGCCTCTGTCCCTACCCTCCATCTTTGAGAGACATTGAAAATGATAACATGTCATTTAAGAACCATTTAAGTTTAAAGACTTTTTTCTTTAAATAGATTTTTGGACAAGAGAGCGTTGTCAGCATGCTAAGATATGCCATGGACACAAGAGCTATAAAAGTACTCAATCATCATCGTCATACAATTTTTCGATTCCAATGTCCTTGGCTATGCCAAATTTAGACTTTAACCAGGCGCCCTTTGTTAAATTATAACAAGCACAATTCTAAACAGCAAAAAAATAAACATAATAGAATAAAGTGTTGGGTAAAAATCTAGTAACTGCAAATAGTATTTATTTAAACCAAGTGTTTGCTAAATTGGATTAAAAGGGGAAATAAAATTATGAAAAGTGCAATATTTCGCGGCGCCCCTGTGAGGAAACCTGTTGAGACCCGCTGGTCCTCACCTTTGTGAGACCCGCTGGCTCCACTCTCTCCATCGCTTCCCCACGCGTTCAGCGCTACCCCACGCGATATGACACAATTAGGCTGGGCCTTAAAATAATAAAAGATTAGAGTATATATTGAAAGCCCAAATCATGTATCGGCCTCTCTTACCTGAATTATGTCAGAAGAGCCTGGCTGGCATAATTAGCTGATAAAGTGTGTTTATCCGATTGTGTCGGGTTAGTATTGTTCAATTTCATATTCATGTGTACTGGTATGTAGAGTCGTAGATGTAATGTTATTAAGAAAATGTTAGGACTATAGTGACTATTGTTAATGTTTGAATATGATAACTATTAATAATTTATAATGTGATGTGATTTGTAATTCTTAGCTATGTCTTATGCATTGTATTTATTATTCTCATTTCTAGCCAGTAAACTAAAGTTAAGTAAAGTATAGTAACGTAAAGTGAAGTAACGTAAAGTAAATTATATGAAGTAAATTACATGACGTAAATTACGTGCAGCAAGTTACAGTAAGTAACATTTGGCCAGTGAAGAATATTTGACCAGAAAGTGTTTGTAAAGTAAATAACATTTGGTCAGAGTTGTAACAGTTCAATAAATAATAACTGGAACTAAAGTTAGTACAGTTCAGTTAGAGGAAGCGCAATTATTAGCAGGAGATAAGCCAAAGGAATCAACAAGACGGTAGCATATACTGTGTGTGTGTTACCCACAGTAAAGTTCAAAGTCGGCACCTACCTCCTCGCAGTGCCAGTGACCGGAGACACTTACGCAGTCAAGCCGCCCAACCCCGCAGTACACCTACTATGCAATAATATTGGGCAGTATCTTGTTATCCTGTTTATGTGTATAGTATATGTAATTTGTATGCTGATAGTTCTGTTTTCTTATAATTAAATATTTATTTGTGGGCTGAACCACTCTTGTTTTATTAGTATAGTTAAAGTATTACTAGACTTGCAAGTGAGAGCTAGTGAGAGTTCATTGAATGATAGAGTGAGTGTGAAGTAGGATTAGTGTAGAATACTTCATCAGGAAATTAATCGTACCCTAGACATAACCATAATAACAGTACTAATCTAACGTAGAGGAAAGGGACCTTTGTTTGTTAATACAAACATTAAACATTTCAAACCCAATACTTTTAATAATTGGGGCAGAACATACATTAATTACAACACATTATAGTTTTGTAACAAAACCAAAGCAACCCAGGACAGGGCCATGCCGAGAAAATGCGATACCAGGGGCGAATCCGGAAAAGGGTGCCAATTAATAATAAAGAAAAAATGCCCTCCGGGGCGGATCTGTAAAAATACGCTTTTTGGCGCCCCTTATCTTTCGGATGTATATGGAATTTTATGTTTTAATTCATTATTAATTCCTATCTAAAAACGATTTGGTGCCCATGGTGTTGGCGCCCTCTTTACCCCATTTTCATGACTCTGTCCGAGAGCAACGTGGCACCCAGAGCGACGTGGCTTATATAATGGGAACCACTGGGCTGGCCAAGCATTGGATTTTTAAAAAAAAATTGCTGTAACGTCACAACTGTCTAATAATCATTTGATTTCGTTGGTGTGGTGTTTTTTTCTTTGTTGGTGTGGGGAGGGGTAGTTAAAATCTTCTTGTGCGGGGGGGGGGGGGGTCCAAAAATGCATGCACAGGGTTGGGGGGGGGGGTAGAAATGTTGAATTTTTTGCATACGTACAAGATTTTAGGCTGCCAACTATTCCCTAGAGCAGGGTGCCGCCATGGCAGGGTGCTCTTTAAGGACACGTATAGGCCTAAGTAGACCAGGTTTAAAATGTTTTATTTAATCAGAATGTTGTTTTTTTAAATGCTTGAATTTTTATTTAATATGATTAAAATGAATATGTACTATGGAACCAAAACAATCCTAATCTTACTTAGCGGCTCTGAATAGTCGGGTGCAGGGGGGTTCCGGGGAGGCCATTGTGCTTAGTCGATGTGTGTGTGTGTGTTTGGAGGGTGGGGGTGCAGACACCACGAGCTTACCGCACAGGATGATACCAAACCTAGTTACGCCACTGCCTAGTTGGTGTAAAACGCGAAATGCCGTAGTTACCCACTACAGTCAGGGGCGTCTCCACAGGGTCTGGGAGTGGAAGGAAGCAGATGCTTCCAGTCTGAGTTAGTTGGGGGGGGGGAAATCCCCCCCCCCCAAACAGCCTGCCTTTTGAATTTCTTCTGTAAACAAAATTAATATGGGAAAGAAAACAATAACAATTCTCAATTTTATATTCATTTCATTAATTTAAAAAAAAAATTTTTTTTTTTAAAAGCTGGAAAGGGGATGGGAGAAAAAAAGTCTCTTAAATTTTTTCAGGCTAAGTGTAGGAAATAAACTCAAAATCCATCAGTACAGAATTACTTGTTTTAATGAACATGCATTTCAATCCCTAGAAAGCATGTGGTCTTGATAACATCAAACCACAGGTGCTCAAAGAATAGGCCAAAGAAATCGCTTCTGCTCTGACAATCCTCTTCCAATCGTTGCTGTACACAGGCAATGTTCCAGCAGACTGGAGAACAACGCAATTCACTCCAAAAATCAAGAAAGTGGAGCATTCCGACTCCGCCAACTACCTCCGGCATCCCTCATCAGCGTGGTATGCAAACTGTTGGAGCACATTATCGTAAGCGCAGTCATGAAACATCTTGAAAGCCACTAAATACTCAATGAATGTCAACATGGCTTCCGAGTCAATAGATCGTGTGACACCTAGCTCCTTGAATTTGTAGAAGACTTAATTGACAATCCGGAGAACAGCAAACATACTGACGTACTGGTGATGGACTTCTCAAAGGCATTTGACCGTGTAAATCATAGTTTGCCTTCACACAAACTTCAAGGCACTACCAATATATGGATCTCTATAGCTTCCTCAGCAACCGATGCCAGGCAGTAGCGGTAGAGGGTACAAACTCCTCCTTTGTTGGTGTTAAGTCAGTGGCCCCCCAAGGCTAGGTGCTGGGCTTCTGTTTGTTCCTACCATTCATCAATGACCTGCCCGAGAAACTGACTTCCCAAGTAACGGCGGTGTATAAGGACGATCGCCAACAGTTCTGACCAAGACCAGCTAAAACGAGAGGTCAATCGGTTAGCTGAGTGGGAGATGAGCTGGGACATGGAATTTCATCCTGCCAAGTGCCAGACATTGTCAGTCTTTAGAAATATTATAAACAAGTAAACTTTTCGGCACATGCCTTCATCAGTACAAACAAAGAAAAACACATTTAAATAAGTATAAATTAAATTTACATAATATCAATATACATATCCTACTTAAAAAAGAAAAAAAAATAGGAGAGGGCGCCAAAACCAGACTAAAACAAAGTAAAGAGGAGTAAAAAGGAAGTGATTTGAACATA